AGCGGGATTTTTCTAGGCATTAAAAGGACCGCTGACCCACGGCCGCCCAGTCTGTGCCAATTTCGTCAGCCGAAATTGGGTAAGGGTTCGGTGCCTTGCACTGGATAGAAATCCCGATTATTCCACTATCGGTGAACGTACGACTGCTACAGTCGCGAGCGTGTCAAGATACTTAGGGTCTGCTCAGCGCAACCCATTTCTTTTTCCTTTTTGCAGGACGACAAAACTGAATAATGTTGTTCGCGTCGGCTGTTTACCACCATTTAGTGTCACTCACCTGCTTCAACAAGTATTGGAGAGCGGGAGCGTTCTTACTCCAATTTTGAATCGATTGATATTAAAGGCAGTTGGCACGATAAATCGCTATACAGGTGTAGGATTTGTACAACTGGCTTAACAGAATTCCGTGACCTCGGACAGGCGCTGCGTGAAGCCTTTTCCAAGGAGGGTACCTCTATAACGCCCTATTGAGCAACAACTTTACGTCCCAAACGCCTTCCTTGCCCGCCCGCCCACAAACGGAAGAGCGGAAGGGATTGGTATGAAGCGGCCGTGATGCTGCATGCATATATGGGTACACATATGCAGCCGTATCTTCGGTAGCGGTGATTGGCAAGATGCGTACGGGAAACTCGTCCGAAATCGATTTACAAGTCACTGAGAACGGAGGCTTTTTCTTCGCCGGATTTTGACCGTTTCACTCCGTTCTTTCGCCATTTCCCCACTATACAGCGCCCTACTAGCATTTTAGGCTAAGTAGGAAACCATCGTGCCAACTGCCTTTTAAAATTCGTGTTTGCACCCTATTACTTACGGCATGTTGGCGGAGTGTACTTCTGATTCTATATTCATTTCATTTTCATTGATTCCTAGTATTATTTTGGTTATCCATATTTAGGTGTCATTTTTGGGAGATGACTGGAAAGAATATCTTGCAAAGGAGGTATGTTAGCATGATCACAACTCTTGTTGTCTAGTAATTAAAGGCAGTTATTCAGCTTGGAGAGCAAAACATTTATCGACACTGGGGTGGAAGGAAACCATCTGATCTTCCCACGGGAGACATTCGAATGGGAGGAAAGGTTCCCGAGAAATTCCAGTGAGTTTCTTCATCCGTAAGTTCCTTATCCATGACTGGACCCGCAACGTCATTAGTGTCAGCGTTTTTGGAATGAGGTTCTATGCGAAACATAGAGTGCTCCAGCGATGTCGTTATCACTGAGGCTGCGTTTATACCTTACGAGGATGTCGACGTAACCGATGTAACTGACGAATAACCGACGGGGCGACGATAAACGGCGAAATCGCACTTCAGCATCCAGCTCTAATAAGAGACGAAGAGCGTGCGGCGCGGTTTCGGCACTAGGGCATCATGGTCACTATCGTCACCAGCGAGTAACATCTTAAGTTGACTACTATGAACTCAACATGGGAATATCACCACACTATACTCACAAAAGCATCGAATCTTGTATAATAATGTTGATGATGTGGCGTTTCCCACAAAATTTCCGTTGAATTATAGGTAAAGTCCTGTAAGGAGGAACAAACGCCTTCTCATCATGTTTAGGCACCTCGCCCATCAAAGTGGGGACATTTCCTTAAAGTCTACCTGCTTCCTTAACTTAAAGCAATCTGCGCTCGAAACGGCTTCTTCAAGATCTGCAGGAAGCAGTTGGAAACAGCCTCTGTACACTTCATCATTGTCGCAGCAATTCAAGCAATTTGGCACGTTCATTTTGCGGGTCCTGCAGTTACATGCCACGTTAGAGTGTAACATTTTGTCGGTGATATATACAGTGCGCCTTCAGCAATGCGAAGCATGGGGCACATTTATAAGCAACGCTTCTGACAAAGTACTCTAGCTGGGGAAACGGTTGCAGGAGGTGTACTCTTTGATTTATGCCTTCAACTTTCAACGGGTTGGTTCAGATAATTCCCGGTTGACTCAGTGGAGCCGTTCTGGTGAAGCATTTTGGCCAGCTTTTGGATTTGACCCCATCAAGTTGGTTGAGTATGGCGAGACTTTCTACATTCCTTACAGTGACTGACATCTGAAAAGTGATTACACACACTGGAGATCAAAAGGGTTCACTTCGCTCTTGAATGGGTGATTTTTCCTAATTAAGTGTACATTATAATAGCCAACATTGTGCAAGTCATTCAAGGCATTTCGAATTGAAACATCTAATTGCTTCCTCTAAAATTCGTCAGGTGCGCGCCTGATTTTCGATTGTGCAAAATACGAGCGCTTTCATTCGATTGTGCAGAATACGAGCGCTTTCATACTTCGTGGTTATGCGATCGTATGAGCGCGCGCTTCGTCTTCAGGGTAATCGTGCCGGGACCGCGCGCCGGATGCTCAAGTGCGATTTCGCCGTTTACCTTACGTCTGACCGACGTGACTGGCGACAACCTTCCGGAGACTGGATACGCATCGATCCGATGTAGCCGATGTAAGTGACGTAACCAACGTTTTCGACGTCAGTCGATACGTATCTAATCTTCTGTCGCCGGTTACGTCGGTTACGTCGACACGTGGATCGATACGTATCTAGTCTTTAGTCGCCCATTACGTCGGTTACGTCGATCATGGCGATTACGCCGGATCGATGCGTATCTACTCTTCTGAACGTAGTCGCCGAAAACCTCGGTCACGTCGCTCACGTCGGTTACGGTTAGGTCGGATGGATACGTATCCTGTCTTCGGAAGGTTGTCGCCGGTTACGTCGGTTACGCCGGTTAGTCGACGTCGTCGCAAGGTATAAACGCAGCTGCAGTACTCTCCGCCACTCGTTTACTGCGCCCGAAGCCGCAAAGAAGCCAAGCGGATGGGAAACGGGTGGCACCGCGCCAAAACCCTACCCCCGGAACCTGGCCACATAGTTGTGAGGGAGCCGAATTGCATAAGCTCCTGTAAAACGCGAAATATGGGACTCAAGTTTTCTTTGTTACCGATTTGAAAATCTATTTGATTTACACCGTCTTACATAGCACAAAGTACAGGGAACAATCTAAGGAGCAGTGGCGGAGCTTTTCGTTCGTCCCAGACTTTCAACTTACAACGAAAACCCTTACTCATAGGAGAACACTATGAGTGAAGTGATTACTGACTCATTGCCAGTTCAAACAATTACAGTCGTCATCCGGCGACTTGATTAGGGCGGCAAGGGTCGCGACGCGGCTGCGGCGTGTCACGAGCGCGGCGATCAGCTGTTTCCAGCCTATTTTAGCCATTTTCTCCCTAATTTTCACTGTATTTTCTATTTTTTTGTTAGTTTCTTTGTCTTTATGAAGTACATTTCAGCGTAAAGTTTTTTTTGTTTCTGTGATATGTGTTTTGCAATTTTCTAGGTATCCGTTTAATTGTTTGTTTAATTAATTAATTATTCGCAGAAATTGGAGAAACCTCAATTTTACCTTGTGAAGACAAGGAACAACTAACCTCAAGAAAAACAGCCGAAAAACAGCGTAAATTAGGGAGAAAATGGCTGAAATAGGCTGGAAACAGCTGATCGCCGCGTCGCGACCCTTGCCGCCCTAATCAAGTCCCCGGATGACGACTGTAGGTCCTTGTTCAGGTACAAAGCCGGCGATGACGTAGACGGATTCACTAAGATCACTGTAGCAGCCGATCAAAAACAGAGGTAAGCCGTTCTCAATTTAAATCATGTTATTGCCTATCAGTAGCACACTGGGAGGGTGATGTCCTGCTGTCTTATCCACTGTTTTTCACTCCCATCTACCAAGAGTTTGAGTTCTGAGCTGAACTGGAAAGATATGAACCCATTCCTGGCTTCAGTTTAGTTCCGTTACTCTATGCCCACTAAACTGGATAACCTTCAATGGGTTCAAGGTTACTGCAGACCACGTAACCCTCAATAGAAGTGTCAACACACCTCACATTTTAGACTCATAACAGTAAAGAGAGCATCTGAAGATTCCAGCGAAGCATTGGTTGATCGGTGAAAAAATTTATGAAAAAGGTTTAAGTAACAAATTTGGGACAAGTAGAGCTTTAAAAAGTTTGTTTCAGATAAAGTTGCGCGGTGAGAAAGGCAAAACATTCCGATGGTTCTGGCGAGTCAATTCTGGTGATCTCGACTTTGGGATCCAAAAAAATGGAGAAATGGTGAAGTTTTCTTTTGAAAAATAGTTCCTTCAGGAACAGAGTCAATGGTGTTGGAACACTAATCTCTTGAACTGACTTAACGGCAAACTGTAATCTCACTTGGGTGGATCCTGGTCCACAAGATGTGGAAAAGGTCCGCACTAAAGCAGCGTGCCACTTTATCCGCTCAAGATGTGCATTGGAACAGGGCTGCAAAGCATTAGTACCCGCGCGCCCTCTCAATAGTTCGTCCGCGCTGCCGCACGACCAGCCACATGCCCAACCACATTCGAAAGTGCTACGTGTCTCCGCCCCTCGCTACTGGTTGTTCTCTAACGCTATATGGGGACTGCAGGACCTTGGTATGACGCGGGTTCCTTGAGGGAGAGCGCGAGCGGAGTATAGAGACGGCAACCGGGTACCAACGCCTTGAAGCCCCGTTCTCGTGCGATTTGTTCGGAGAAAGGGCACGCTACTGTAGCTGCGGACCCATTCACCCCACGTGGGTATACTCGAAATCCCTGAGATCGGGTAGGCGTGGCCGCATGCTTCAACTTAACCTGAAGGTGTCTATGCTTCTGGTGAGATATTTTCATCTTGACACAATTGTTGTCGTGTCTCTGTCCAACACAGAACAAGATGACAGTTGTCCCAGACTGGAATATTCCACGAGTAACCAATTCCGTGCCATGTTCAAATGCCACGCCTACTCTGGCTCAGGGATAAGGAGTATATATGGCAAGAGAATCGTAATTCGCCGCGCCAGTGGACTCGCGTGCGACCTCGCGCCCGCTAATGACGACCTTTCTGGTCGAAGGTAGACAATGCATGACCAAAAATAGGCATAAGTGTTTACCTAATCCTTGTCTACGTAATCTGAATAGGTAGCGCAAATTAAGGAAACTCCGCATCCGTTGGCGCGCGCCTCAGTTTACGATTCTCTTGCCCCTCTCCCACCCCACATATGGTGGGGACCACAATCTGAAGAGGTGAGTGAGTCTTTGATATTTGTCACTATTCAGACGCAGTGATATTCCTCAACACCCGGTAAGGCCTATAGACGAAAATTCAGCGAAAATTTCTCTGACTGGCTTTTTGGAGTGGTAATAGTGGTGCCTAGAGTTCTACACATTCTACGCCTTGAGCGTGGCTGAAATTCGGTAAGAGTGGACGTACTGAGAGTCTTTGCCTTGATGGTGTTCGGCATCTGTGAATCCCTATTCTGCCAATTAGGCTCGTATAGAAGTGGGGTAGTTTTTCTCAGCACATGGGCACCATCACCAACTATTAGGTTGTTCGAAAAGTCCTGCGACACTTTGACCAATTTTTCGGACTAAATTTTCAGTCACTAAAAGACATCTCCAATCTACAAGGTAATCACCACTAAGGACTAGGACTAGTGCCCTTCTTTTGCACAGCTTCTCATTTCCATTCTTATAGAACTACGGCAACTATGATAAGAAGAGGTGGACCTCATTTTTGAGTAGACGTCGATTTTCGGAATTTTTGCCTTCTTAAGGATGCGGTAGGGATCAAAAAAGGTAGTAGTTAGAGACTGCTAACTTTGATGAATAAGCTGGGTATGGTCGCATTCTCAGATCAAGATCCACGATCTTTTGGTGTGGCCTGATCCTAACATGCGGTCTTCGCATTGCCGAGCGGTAGAGAAAAATTGAGTATTTTTGAAGAATTCAAGCGTGACGTCATCCATGTTGTGAGGTTGGTTAGAGTGGACTGTAGTCCTTACCGTTATGCTAGTATCCAGAGATACCGCTTTGAAGTCCCACCAATAACCTACTGAAATCTTTATCCCATGCACATCTGCTTTTGGCTGTGCAATCTACTTTTCTGAGAGATCCTGCGAGGAACATGTGCAAGATGTACGCAAGGACCCCACCACTCTCTACCAACCACAAGATCTCACAAATGTTCCTCCAGTGTGTACAAGGAAAAAAAACTCAGTCACGGTCATTCGGTATGACTTGTCAGAGGGGTTCAACTCATGAGGCATCCTTCATAAAAAATTTTTCCGATAACCGAGACTGCGGAGAAGCATGGCAGTTGTCAGTTAGGTGGAGCCTAGAGAGGTTGCCAACTTACTGGTGGTTACGTTCGGCTGCGCCTCAAGAAGCTTGAGTAAAGGGCCGTCATTCTGTGCTGGTGGCCGACCTATACATTGCCTACTTCCGAGTTGAATAAGTCCAGCCTGGAAGCGCTGATGCAAAAGGAACTCTCTGCTATGGCAAGCGATATCCTTCCTCAAGACAACGTAAGTGTTAGCTTCCTCGACTACGGCGGAGTGGCCCTACAGGAACTCATAATATGGGATAGGTCGAGAAGCCTCGATCTCTGAGGCAGGGCACAGCGTTCGATGGGGATTCCCTATGGGAGGGGGGTCGTATTTCTGGCCAGGAGTTACGTGGTTCACTTCAAGAGTTTTATGAATTTTCGCCATGTCAGCCATCGTACGAGCATGGGGGGTCGTACCAGCCCCTGAAAAAAAGGGGGGGGGTCGTAAAAGCTCGACCAAAATCCCCATCGAATGCTGTGCCCTGCTCTGAGGTATTTTTAAGCTTTGAAACTTCCACGGAGCCATGATATACCCATTTTCAGAAACCCCAGGAGACAGTCTCCACTAATCAGAGATAAAAACATCCAAAATGATTTTTGGTCTTTTTCTAGAACAATTCAATCAAAGTGTCGCAGGACTTTTCGAACAACCTAATATTTTCCTCTGCAGTTGGTCTATCACCAAGACATTTCTGCTTTTTTGCAGGCCTACCCGACATTCCGTATTAGCACTGAATTCCATCCAGAATTCGGTTCAATGGAATGCAGAGACGATGACGAGTACACGTTTTTCTTCGACAATTCGCATGGTAAAATATGGAGTAAGGAAGTATCCTATAAAATCACACTGCAAGTAAAACTCTTCCTGAAAAAAAAACTGAAATTGCCTACATATGTGTTGTAATTGTAAATGCTAAGATTGCTCACGAATGTGTTGACTAGCTCTTCATTTGAAGCGCAACGAAGAATTGTAAATAAAGTTTTATTAGAACGTGATGGCCCAAAATTGCCGAAAATTCTTGAGAATCTGGGCTAATCTTAATAGAGAACACTGAAGATATATCTTGCGCAGCTGTTACATCGCAGTACGGTGGGGCGGTGTCGGGAGGCGTGGCAAGAGCCCATCCACGACCTATATATACCGTTTTCACTTCGAATTCATGCCACTTTTCAAACGAAATTCACCACTTTTCAAACCAAATTCACCACTTTTCAAACCAAATTCACCACTCTTTTTAGACCGGGAAGTTCACCAAGCAGATCACGCCAGACACCACTGTGAGCCCCGCCTCGACGGTCACGCCTACTTGGAATGCGTGGACACAGATTTTCGACACATCGGCACATGGCCGACTCCGCCCATTCTTTGAAGGTTTGTTGCGAACTTCGAAATTTCATAACTTTTTCAAATTTTTAATTTCACATCCACTCTTTGCACAACGAAGATACTTGTACTCAAGCAATTATGCGCTGGCAGTTGAGGCTCCACCCTTAGCCACGCCCAGTTGTGCGGAATTCTGATATTTTCCCACTTCTGGACTGCTCCATGAAGTCACGCCCATTGCCAGAGGCTCCGCCGGCTTCAAAGAAGCCCCGCCCACATTTCAGAAATTGTGCAACTCGGCAGTATAGAGTCTTGCTTACATGGCTAGAGTATTGCTGGTCATTCGGAAAAAACTTTGCCTGATTTATTTGTTCCGAGTGACGGACGAGACTTTGCATGCACCAGACTTTATGACATGCGGAGTTGCACCGAGGCATTTTTTTAAGATAATGCGGAGCTTCTTTTAAGAGGGCGGAGTCTGATCTACACTGGGCACGAGGCTTCAGGAGCAGCCCGAAGCAAAATTTTGAAAAATATTCGAATTACAGCAAAAGCTAACGTGCGTGCACTCTAGGGATGAGTCTCCAATGTCGCGCGTGATGCGTAGACGTAGCGGAGAATCTACGTCGGCGTTAGTGACAACAAAGTGGGAGCGTTGAAATCAAAATTTGATAAAAGTTATGAATTTCGATACATTTCGTAACAAACCTTCAAGATGGGCGAAGATCGGCGCCCAGTTCGATGCTGTGAAATTCAAATGTCGCGGCTGCAGTAGGGTGACCGTCGGGGTGGCGGCTGCTGACGGTGTCTGACGTGATCGGGTTGGTGAAACTGACTCGCTCTAAAAAGAGCTCGGTGAATCTGTTGAAAAGTGGTGAAATTGTCAGGAAGTGAAAAAGAGTATGTTATTCTTTATATGCCTCACCTGTCACATGAAACCCGGCCAACAGAGAATGACAGTATTGCAGCGTACCAGCCACGTTTATCGCATAAGCCAGCCTATCTTCCTGTCATGACCTTTCACCTTCTAGCTAAGGACTCGGGCCAGTTCGCACCATCAGTGAATTCATGTAGCCAACCGCAAAGGGCTCTCTAACCCAATAACGGACGATGCGATGGCGTCTCACTGTTTTTGGAAGGTCATTCAGAAACGCTCAACATCCTCGTACACTAGAAGTATATTCGGACTATGTCCGGTGGTGTGTGTGTGTCGATCGTTCTGTGCCGGTCCTGTCTGGTTTGTCAGAGAAACATTCATAAGGCACCTTGAAGAGCAGAGCTACGGCGGATCGGATCATGATGGGGATGGGATAGCAGCATGGACAAAGACCTAAATACGCCATACCCATGCTAAGCCGCCAAGGCCGCCTGGCTGGGGCCGGGGCGGTGTGTTCCAAACACTGGATGGATCTCGATTGTAAAAAGTCATAACTCGGTTAAAAAGGCCAACCCCGAGATGTGTGACGAACAGTTGCAGTAAGGTGAACAAACGTAGGTTAACTGATCAATCGATGGAGAAGAGATTCGCAAATGGGCGGGGCGGTACTTGGATAAGGCGGGGGCTTTCATGCACTGATAAAATTAAACCTCGCAATAATTGGGGCTACAGTAAGCAGCTCGGAGACTGAAAAAGTGGTATTAGGTTAGCGCTGGGTTGGCCCATCAAATGGAGGAGAGAGACCCGAAATGGGCGGGGCGTACTTGAGATGGGCGGTGCTTCCCACAAAGCTCAATAACTCGGTTCCGAAAATGTAGGGGAGGGCAAGAAAAGTCCATGAACGAAGATAACGTTGGCAAAGAGTCACCATATGTTTACGGCGTGCTGAGCGCCGCCCTACGTGGGCGGGCGTGCATTTGAGGAGCACGAGAGAACAGTATACAACCAGTCGTAGTTCGGTCCTAAGCACAGGCAGATGGGCCAAAAAAGTTTTGGCTACCCTAAGTGATAAAATGCAAACAATTGCTAGGCAGTACGCCAAGAACAGAAGCAGATGCAGCGCCATTGTGCGGAGCCCTGCCCGAGAGGTGGGCACGCGGCAAAATCGAAAGAATTAGTAAAATGGTATCAAAGCACTACAAACAGTTCCCGAGAAAGTGGTGTCAAAGGTTCATTGAGGGTTTAATTAGTTGAGGAAGGCTGACGGCATACATCTGTGGGCGGGCGTGCCAGGAGGTTCGGTAAGAGCCAATTTTAAATTTCACAAAACGTTCCAGAGCACTCCAGACACCGGGAAAAAGTGGTTTAAGGTCATTGGAAGATTATTAGTTGAGAAGCGCGAAACATACATTGTGGGCGGGGCGTGCCCAGAGGTGGGTGGAGCCAAATTTAAAAATTCGTTCCAGAGCACTCCAGACACCGGGAAAAGTGGTTTAAAGGTCTATTGAAGATTATTATTAGAAGCGCGAGGGATAACTTCATGGCTGGCGTGCACAGAGTGGTGGAGCCAAAATTTTAAAAAATTGCAAATACCGTTCCATCTCGAAGCGCTCAGATAGCCGGTAATAAGATGGTCTTTAAGGTCATCTGTGAGCATTATCTAAGTTGAGAAGCCGCGAAGGATCAGTAAACATTGTAGGCGGGGCGTGCCCAGAGGTGGGTGGAGCCAAATTTAAAAAATTTACAAAACTGTTCCAGAGCGCTCCAGACACCGGGAAAAAGTGGTTTAAGGTCATTGGAAGATTATTAGTTGAGAAGCGCGAGGCATACATTGTGGGTTGCGGCGTGCCCCAGAGGTGGGTGGAGCCAAATTTAAAAAATTTACAAAACTGTTCCAGAGCGCTCCAGACACCGGGAAAAAGTGGTTTAAGGTCATTGGAAGATTATTAGTTGAGAAGCGCGAAACATACATTGTGGGCGGGGCGTGCCCAGAGGTGGGTGGAGCCAAATTAAATTCGTTCCGCGCAGAGCGACCCTCGCAACACTAACGGGGAGAAGTGGTTATAAGGTCATTGAAGATTATTAGTTGAGCAGCCGCCGTGAGGTATACATTCATGGGCGGGGCGTGCCCAGAGTGGTGGACCAAAATTTAAAAATTCTATACTATAATATTGATCGGCTATGTCCGTGCTCTGTGTGATGTGTCTTGTCGGCGACGCGTCTGTCCTGTTTATGTGCACGAAATTCAGAATTCAGCATCGCTGATAACAGAGATAGGCGGGATGGATCAGGTGGGCGATGGATAAGAGCATGGGTATCGACTAATTAGCCACCAGTGACCATGCTAGCCCCGCCGCAACATAGTGGTGCGGGCGTGCGCCAAAGTTAGACGGATGAGGTCATTGTCAAAAACTCCATAACTCGTTACGACAGCAGCCCCCGAGATGTGAACCTTGGAGTAAGGTTAACAAGGCTCAATGACCAATGGCAGGAGGACTATCCGAAAATGGCGGGGCGTCCTTGGATAGGCGGGAGCTTCCATGGGCAATAAACAATTACATAAACTTGGCTACACGAGCAGCTCGGAGACTTGAACAGTGTATTAGTTAGGCTGGGTTGGCTCATAAAATGGAGGAGAGTAACCGACAGAGAAATGGGCCCGGGGCGTACTTTGACTGGCGGTGTGGCTTTCGGCCCACACCAAGATCTAATAACTCGGCTCCCGAATGTTATTTAGGAGCGCCAGAAACGTCGCATGAGAGATAACGTCTGGCTAAGAGGTCCACCATATTTACTGGCTGCTGGGAACCGGCCCGCACTCTACGAGTTGGGCGGGGCGTGCATTTGAGCAACGAGGAAACTTAAAAGTGGTAACCTTCGGCTCCTAAAGCACGGCAGATTGTGCCCAAAAAAAGGCTTTTGGTCGCCTAAGTGATCAATGTAACAAAATATTTTGCTAGCTTGGCCATTGTGGGCGGAGCCATGCCCGCAGGTGGCGGGAAAAATCGGAAAGAATCCGTAAAATGGTTCCAGCACTATAAACACCAGAGAAAAGTGGTTCAAGGTCACTGAGGTCTTATTAGTTGAGAAGCGCGAGGCCATACACTTTGTGGTCGGGGCGTGGCCCAGAGTGGTGGAGCCAAATTTAAAAATTTACAAAACTGTTCCAGAGCACTCCAGACACCGGGAAAAAGTGGTTTAAGGTCATTGGAAGATTATTAGTTGAGAAGCGCGAAACATACATTGTGGGCGGGGCGTGCCCAGAGGTGGGTGGAGCCAAATTTAAAAATTCGTTCCAGAGCACTCCAGACACCGGGAATGGTTTAAGGTTATTGGAAAGAATTATTAGTTGAGAAGGCTGCGAGCAAGTGCACTATGTGCGGAGGCGTGGCAGAGCGGTGGAGCGCCATAATTTTAGCAAAATTCACAAAAAACTGTTGCCCAGAGTCGCTCCAGATAACCGGAAAAAGTGGTTTAAGGTCATTGGAGATTATTAGTTGAGAGCGCGAGCTACATTAGGTGAGGGCGGCGGGCTGGGGGCCAGAGGGAGGTGGAGCAATGTGAAAAAATATTTACAGCATAACGTGTCCAAGAGCGCTCCGCACACGCGCGGGGGACAAAAAGTGGTGTTAAGTTCATTGAAACAGAATTATTTATTTGAGAAAGCGCGAGGCATAATTGTGGCGGGGCGTTGCCAGAGGTG